CTTTTGGTCGAGGTGTACGGTCGAGGGTACCATGTCGAGGGTTGATGTTTTATGTTTTCTTTTGAAATTTATTTTTCGAGTTTTTTAAGCGAGTGAGGAGCGCCAGGCACTCAACAGTTCAGTTGTTATTACTGCTAACTCAGAGAGTTGGCAGAAGCAGTAGTACTAGTATTAGTTACTGGTATCGTAACAAACTATGCTTGGCTTTTTTCTTTGTCGTGTTTTGTGAACATTAAGAGCAAATAATATTTTTGTGCTTTTCGCATAACTCAGTGGCAATGACCCCCCCACCCCTAAAAATCCATACAAGCCATGAGCTGGTGGAATATATTTTGCGTAACTTTCGTGGCCGAGAATAAATAAAATTCCTGCAAAATTGGCGGTAATGCATCCATGTCTGGCGCTCCTCGCTCGCTTATAAAACGCGAATATTTTTTCAATGAACATAAAAATAATGAACCCTGGCCTCGACTTAAAAAAATCGCCCTTCAACCCTCGATACCTCGACCAAAAGTAGGACTACTCGGAACATTGTTACTTCGCTGGTCTTCTTATTATTTTTATTATTAGCTGCCATTTTATTGCCCTACATAACAAATAGAGTTTTTATGTATGGTTGAACGTGCCATTAAGGAGTACGAGGTTTTATTCTTTTTAACTTGCTTCGTTTTAATATCACAAACCTATTATTTTTATTATCTTTATTCTCTCTTGCTTTATTGTCATCACCTCATTAAAAAAAAAAAAAACTGAACTGTGCGCGAGAGATATTTTGCGATAAAAGTGATCGCATCTGGGCCGCAAGGAATGTATCAGGGAACTGCGTTATGGACACCGAATTTTTATGATTTTCATATAATTTTTAGTGTTATATTTAATATTAGTGTGGAAGGCGATAGTCCAGACCCTTAACGACACGCTGGTGTCGTCTTCGTGTTGTGCCTAAGGGTCTGGCCACGACAAACAGATTTTTTGCATCGTCGAAAACAGCATCTCGTTGTCCGATGATCTCTGATTCGCTCGCGCGAGTGGACCCCCATACCTAAGAGAAAATGGAAACCTATCGATGCGAGAAAATTTGGTTATGACGTCACCATACGTCCGTCCGTACGTTCATACGTTCTTTCCCTTATCCCCTACAGAGTTTTGTCCCCTATTGTTTCAAACTGAGCAGGTAGTTGGTAGATTTTATACAGGGGCTGTCCATTTGACTTTTGAGGGGGTTATGGGTGATTTCAGCAAAATATCCTGCAGACTGATTTCGAGGAGAAAAGTTTGCAAGGAAATACCTGGAAAAAATAATATCCTGCACTGAAAAAAAAGATTTCGCTCCTGAAGGTATGATGCTGAAAAAATCTTACACCGCTGTATGTCGGGGAAAAAATTTCTAACTCACCAGATGTTTGGGAAAAAAGAAATACTCCGCCACAAATTCAATTGATCAACTCCTTGGGGGTGGAGGGAGAAACGGAGTTAGTAAACGACATCATATCCATCAACAAAATAGAGACCTTTAGCATCAGGTAAACCGCAAACCGCAGACCTCAAACTGCAGTTACGCGTTTGCAGTTTCGCGTTGCCGAGATTTCAAACTTTAGCAAGGCGTTCAGTTCAGTTCATTTTTATTTCGCCAAAATACAATACAATACAAGAATACATATAGGAATATTAAGGTTGCAAGGGAGCCCAGAAGAAACCAGAAGGCTTTATAAAGCCTGGGCTCCCCAGTCTAAAAGAGATAAGCAAAATAAAATGATATTCGCGGAGTGATACGTTAAAAATAGGAACCAAACAGAGACTGAGTTAAGTTATGAATTCAGAAACAAGATAGAAAAAAAATTAACTCTGGATTGGAACAGAATACTTTCTTTTTTTAGTACGGCAGAAAGGAATATAAAATTGATTTGAACTACGCGTTCATTGTTTAGGGCTGCCATCAAGTCGAAGTGCATCACTTTAATCGCCCAAACCTCAGCAATAATTCATTGATTCGAGATCAAAAATCCAACAAACACATCGCAAACGGATACAAAAAGCTAGTTCATACCTTTAAACGCGAGGATGTACAATTTTTTGTGGCAAAAAACCGTGCCGTAAATCACTTACCGCTGGAAGCACCTCCTGCAGTTCAAACGTGAACTGCAAACTGCAAACGTGACCGCAAGGCCGTGGTCACGTGACATTTTGCGGTTTGCGTTTTGCCGTTTCCCACGAAAAACCTGATGCTAAAGGTCCCTATTGGCTGGAGCGCGTTGTCGTCAATCTACATTTCTACATGGTGGTTTGCCACTGACGGAATGCTTAAACGTCAGACGAACTAAAAACTAAGGCAAGGTTTCTACAATTAGTTCAAGCAAGAAATGAACACTACAAGCCAGTAAAAATTTACGTTGTAAATTTTTACAGTATAGTAGCTGTTACCAACAATGAGCAGCTATTGTACGAGTTTTTTTGTCTTGATCCATTCGATCTGGGTGAACTAGTATCCGTGACTACTCGATCTTTACATCTGTTCAAGTCAGAAGCCCTACGTCAATCTCAATGCAATTTGGTATCGAACTGAATCTGTTCTATGAAAAACGGTACCAAAAACTATAGAACTGTGAAATCTAAACAAATCACATTTTCTTTTAAACTTCAATGCAACCTAAATACTCTGAAGAATTTTTTAAAAAAATACATTCCTCTGCGGTTTGCGTCGCGTCAAAATTTAGGTCAAAGTTGTGACCTAAAACTCCGGCACAAATATTATAATATGGTATTGCAAAAGAGTGGAAAAACGGCAGACATTTCGCGACGACATACCACTTCCCACCCTGCAAAATGACTTCTGAGGAACGAGTGCAAACTACATACTGATGATGCGTCAGTAGGCAGATCTGGGCTTGTAAGAAGAAAATCTCAACCAGTCAAAGATACGTCATCAGTATTGAATTTTTGTGCTCGTTCAGACTTCATTGGTTACGTAGAAATCAGTGCTGGCGAAGCGAAATGTCGGCTGTTTTCTGAGGCTAGGTACAGCACAAGCTCCTCAGGAAATCTGTTACTTGTCTGTTCAGTTTAGAAACATCAAAATCAAGTGGGTAAAAATGTTTCTTTTGTTTTTCAGAAATTTTGTACAGTGAAATCCACCACTAATTGTAGATAAATTTAAATGCGAACGATATATCAGTAACATAAAACTGGAAAAACAATAATTACATTTAAAACATTTTCAGTTTTTTTTTTAGCTCATGGATGACGTAGTCATGCCATGGGCTTTTGGAGGCACTCGAATGGCACTCGATCACTCACTCACTCACTCACTCGATTCTAATTAATTTATTCATTAAAGTCAGATTAGACACTTTACTCTTACCTCCCTTACTTAGTATTACTTTTGTTCCAAGTGCCTTTTACACATATGTTTGGAATATTCTAGAGGGTACTACTAAGGTGAATTTTTTTCCCGACACATCAATTATAGAGATGGGTTTTGTATAAATGGAAAGATTCTAAAGAACACTGATAATATCATCCGTAAGAAATGGACTTAGAATGGTTAAAAGGACATTGAAATAATTGAGCGTGGTTCATTGTTGCATATTTGGACGAATTGTGCACATTTGTTCCCGATATTATATTTGATATGGAGAAGATGCGATCAACAGGAGTGTGGACGAGCTATTGCAGCCTGACGACGGGATTTCGTTCAGCGAAAAGCGAATAAGCCAAAGAGCCTTATAATCACTACAAAAAAACGGTCCTCGAATTGTTAAAGCGACATTGAGGAGTATCTATTGTGGTTTATTCAGTTATTTGGACGAATCCGTTCGACCATTTGTCTACGTACGGAAACAGGGAATGAATTAATGTTGTGTGAACTAGAAGCACAGGTTTTAGAACCAACAAGCGTTACGCTATTTTGCTTGAATTCTTACGTGATCTTTGCCTTAAAGTAAGCTTTTGTTTGTCGGTGATTCCATTTAACAGGGCTATTAATGTAATTTCTAAAAGAAATGCAGCGCTGGTATAAACAAGTGTCTAGAACATTCAGGTGGAGAAAGGCAATCGGATACTTTGACTGCGTTTAAATTACTTGGCTAGGTCAGAGCACGTACTGCTTTGAGCTTAAATAATTTTTAGGTCGTGTTTATCAAAATCGTGTTCTAAAGCAGTTCAACTTAGCCATAAACGCCTGTATTCTGTATTTCGTATAGCTCGTACTACACATACTAACAGTCACCGTTACGTACTCTTTGTGAACAGCATAAAACCACGGTTTAAATAAAACTCGTGCTTATGTAAAACTTGGCTATTTTACAAGAAAGTGCACTGTCGTTCGGAAAGTGTTTGACAGTCACATGAGAAAGCAAATTATTTTACAACTAAAAAGCTTTAATAATTGCTTTTAAAGGTGATCTTTTCTTTGTAAGTAGAAATGCTGCGCTGATAACAAGTTTCTAGAATATTCAGGTGCACATGCAATCGGATACTTCGAGTCACGCTGTATTTTGGCAAGTCCGTACACAATGAACCGTTCAAAAAGATTTATATGTTCTTCTTTGATTATTGAACTGTCTTTTCGACACTAATTCAAATCATCCATGAGCTCGCTCCTAGGAGCCTTTGATTTATTTTCACTCTCTTAACTTCTTACTTTGAAAACGTCGAAGAAATAATCAAGTTGTGGCACGAACCTCTCATTAAAAAAAATCATTCAAAAAATCGTTAAAGGAAAGAAACTTTAAATCATTATTTCCATTAATTTTTGACCATCGAATTCAAAAGGGTAAAATCAGTCAAACTAACTAACAACTAATGAAAAATAATTGATATATTTGAATTACAACTGTAACACAAGAGAGAATGAGCTTGAGTGACATAAATCGTCAACTACACACTGACCACTGAACTATCATTCGCTCATCACAGCTAGTCGGTCATGCCCGAATAAGCAACAGCAAGTTTGATCTTTAATTGATACAACCTAGATAACCAAACCTGTTAATTATACAACTTCATCGTTCATTCATAGTTTTCTTTATCCAGTCAATAAATGGATACACCCTGGTGTAGTAGGTATAACGATTTCTTTGTGCACACCCCTCCCCCCAGCTGACAAGGCCAGCGGCGATCCAACGGTAGCCATCTCCTCTCTTTGCTTGGCGAACAAAAGCTCCTCCACCATCACCAAGACAGGTATCGTTTCCCCCTTTACCGTCCCCGGCACAGAAGGTCACTGTCGAGTTGTAAGGTATCGACGATCTGTTGGCGCAAAGTTGGTTTTGTTGAACTGTGAAAGCAGAGTATTGAAGAATTTTTCCATATCGTTTTGCCTTTTTAGGTCTCTCTCCACTCTTCAAGGCCATTGTTGCTCCCCATCCAGTTACTATGCCGTATTTACTAGTCAAGGCGAAATCACCTTCATCTTTTCGTGGAATGCACACAGTTCGAACAAACTTTCCAAGAGTGACATCTTTCTTTAGTTTGACGAGAGCTATGTCATTCATATATGAGGAACCATTGAAATTCGGATGAACATAAATGTGCTCTGGGAACACGGTCTGTTCAGACTCTTCTTTTCTCGTTAAACTGTGGTCACCAAATTTCAGAAGATATCTACCAAAAATAAATAAATAAATAAATAAATAAATAATAATAATAAACCGTGATGCACAATAAAGATAACACCATCACCATCATGTGGGACATGCCAGTCAATACTGATAGAACTATAACAGCGAACAGACTAGACATTATCGTTAAAGATTCAGTGAATTCCACCTGCAAACTGATTGATATGACACTTCCATCAGATAGAAACAGGCACTGAAGGAAACTGAAAAAAAAGCAAGTACAAAGACCTAGAACTAGAAATAAAGAGAATGTGGCATATGAAAACCGTAGTGATCCCTGTGGTTGTTGGTGCGCTTGCATGGTACAGTGAAGAGGAGTATGGTACAAAACATCAGGAAAGTATCAGAGAGAACTACTATGACAGAAATTCAAAAGATCTGCATGCTCGGATCCGCGCGAATCCTCAGAAAGGTGCTCAGTGTATGAACAGAATGATTGACTTGAGTGACTGCCGGCTCTAGGTGCGTGGTTTGCGCCCAGCTGATGCACAAAAAGAACACCAGCAAAGACTGTGATAAAAGAGATATCAATAATAATAAAATAAATAACATAATAAACAAACACTTCGGGTTTACTTAGGTACGCTTGTCCTTTTCAAAATCGCCAAAACAGGACAGTTAAAGCTCGCCTTTTATCGCTTAAGAATTCCCGAAAGCAAAATGTTTACGAGATACCTTGTTTTCACAGTTCCTAAAAGCTTTTATTCCTAAAAGCAGAGGTTTCTTTTTCCTTCTTCTCAGCGGTCTCCAACCTTCGCTTTTCATATACCTCCAGATGGTGTTTATTCCCCCTACATGGCCTTTGCTTGCAAATTGTTGTGAAAGCTGTCTGGTCGAGTTTCCGCCTTTGTACTTAGCTTTGTTCAGCATTCTTTTAGCTGCCTCATTAAGGATTTTCGGTCTTCCCGTTCTCTTCTTGTCTTCAAACCCGTCATTTCTTGACGACCATTACACTACCCAACGTTCAGATATTATTTATAGCTTTTAGGTATAAAAGAAAGGAAAATACTCGTGAATTAAAAACTTTTGGACGTAGAACAGGCTATCCAAGAGGGGTTTCGTCGCGACCAAGTAGCCTTTATCAGTTTTTACAAGCAACTTTCATAACACGTTGTATCTCGTAAATATTTCTGCGGTCGGGAATTCTTGTGCAATATAAGGCGAGATTTATGTGCTGAGTGTAAACGGGACTTTGAGCGAGATGCTCAAAGAAAGGCCTCGTTTTAAGTACTCACTTGGTAGTATTTGTGTGTAATCTACGCTGCCAAGCATTCCAGTAGCACCCGGCCACAGTCAGAACCCATCGCCGAGAAATTAAAGCACCACCGCATGAAAGAGCCGGTAAATTCAAGTGATCTGAGAAAATATAAATGTGATTTTTCTTACTTTACCTTGTATAGATCTTTCAGTGTTACTTTTAATACTCTTTATAGGTCCAATTACTATCAACGGAATGCCAGCATGTTAACGTGTTTGTGTGGGGTTATGGTTGCAATATCGCTTTTTAGACCATTAGAATTCCTTTAAAATTAGCTTCCATTACTGATATCTTCATTTTTATTTTCAAATTGTAATCAGAGAAAGGCGCTGAAGTGTTTTCAAAGTGAATAGAGTGGTAATGGTCTCTGCGCCAATATTTACACAAACAAAGTTCGAGGCTGATTTGAATTAAGGTGATGTTACACCGGACGATTCGCAACGACGATTTTTAGCTCAACTCAGCTTTGCAACATTGTTGCGACATTGTTTCAAAGGGTTGCAACACTGTTCCAACATTGAGACGCTGTGTTGTGCTAAAAATCGTCGTTGAGAATCGTTCCGTTTAACATCACCTTCAGTGTGTTTTCAAATGACTTCTCGGTGGCCGTTCCAAAACAATGAAACGGTGGCCATGTTTCGACCATGTTGGTGGTCCAAACAAATCTTGCGGGAGTTAAACTCTTTTCCTATGTAAACGCTTTCTTTAGTCTAAAAATGTTTGTTATGCAAATCTATCGGAACGAAGGAAAGTATTTACACGAGAAAAATAACGTGTTTTGGCAAAACAACACATTGCCGCCTTTTCTTTGTTTTGGTACAAAATTTTTCGTGGCCGCCGTGACGTCATGTGCATGAAAACGATCAATAGCCTGCTTGAGCCGAGAAGTGATAGCACAGTTAGGTGTCCGTGGGGCCCAGTCCACCAGGGTTCGCCTCTCGGTATGAAAATCGTTTTCATTGTGACAAAGTAGACTCGACAACTTAACTCTGACCTAGCATAAATCATCGAGTATAATAAATAATATTCATCTGGAGGTGGCTATTAATTTGTTAACATTTTTTGCTGACATCTTTTACCATAGTCACTGTATTTGTAAATTCCAACTTGCCATGGCCACCATCCCCTTTTGGAGTTCTTTCCACCAACGATACGACTCCTAAAATCGAACGAACTTACGCCACAAGAAGAGTAGCCTGCAATTACAGGAACGGAAGCTAGTGTGAGATCTAGTTCTACAGAACTTTTATATCAATCTTATTAATACTCTAGAGCCGAGTTGTTAACTTAATTAGTAATTGATTAAAAACAATAATATAAATAAATAAATAAATAAACAAACAAATAAATAAATATAAACAAATTGACTTTATAGGGGTAGCACAATTTATGGTAACCCGATAGTTTTCATTGTGACCCAAAAATGAAGACATAAACAAATAATTGAAATTAAATGAACATATTCACAAGGTTACGAAACCCAACCGGCCGTAGACAAACCAGCTGTTGGCTATTGTACAAGTGTTACCGAAAAATTGAACCGCTCGACCAGGCTACTTTCCTAGCAAATAAAATAAAATGAAAAGAAAGAAAATCGAGTTTGATGCCGAATAACATGGCTGACCGTTCAATTTACTTTTTCTTTTTTACTGAGCCATTTATCGACAGCTGATTGGTGGTGAGCAAGGGTCGATGAGGGTATACACTAAATGACGTCATGTTTCACAACCGGGATTGAACCCGGGCCACATTGGTGAGAGGCGAGTACTCTCACCACTGCCACGCCCTTCCCCCTAATGAACTAATGGGTAATAAAATAGTATATTCGTGAAGAAACATGAAGAAATTATTTCATTTACACATATGAAAAATTATCGCAAAACTATTGTAGGTGTGTGCTATGGGATCACCAGTATCCGCTATAGTTGTCAACTTCTAGTCGGATTAGTTTGAAAGAGAAGCGTTGTCCAACTTCCCCAGACTACCGGAAATCTGATTTAGGCGCGTGGATGACACCTTCCCCAAATTGCACATATATGATATAGAGCATTTCAACTCCAGGGACCCGCACGGAGACGGAATCCAACGGAAAGCTACCCTTCCTAGATACGTTCTTATCAAAACGGAGGTCACCATTTACAGAAAGCCTACTCACACCGATCAATATCTGAATTTTAATTTATATCACCATCTGGAACACAAACGATCAGCAGTGAGAACTCTCTTTCATCGAGCAGAGACAGTTATCAAGACAATTAGACAAGGAAATTGGATTGAAACATCTTAAATCAGTCCTTTAAGACATCAGCTACAAAAAGCGGATGCTTAGAATCTCGCCAAAGACAGCCAAAGCCTCGGGTACAAAAGGTGAATCCGTCTCCATTTGTGCTCACAGTATCTCACTTCCCTACGTGCAAAGGGTTTCAGAAAACGGTTTATCAAATTTTTCAAAAAACAAGGAGTTGGCACATTCCACAAGCCTTATTTTAATATCATCAGTCAGCATTTGGTCCACCACTAAGATCCGACACCCCAGGAATTAAAAAAAGAATGTGGAGTTGTGTAGGAAACTCAGTGCGAAGGCTGTGATGATTTCTTTATTGGAGACAGCTTAGATCTTTCGGAGTGAGCTTCAAGGAACACGTTGTCATAACAACAGCGTCATCAACGACGGTTGGGGATCATCCAAAGTTGTCAGGCCCCTCCTGGAGATGTCCTACTCTTCGATCCTCGCGAGGGAGGAGGGCATGTTCAAGAGAAGCGTTAGGGAGGCCATCGAAATATTTTTTCCGGCTCCAACATTGAACAGAGACGCTGGTTACGAGTTCTCCGCAATCTATCGAAAGGTTTTGCCACGTGGTTCACAGTATAAATCACGTGACCAAACGCCCAAATCCATCACTTGATAAAGATTCCGCGATGGAATCGAAAGCTTGTTGGTAAAAAGTTTTTCCTATCCTGTAAATTGAATCGTGGTTTTTAATATATCGCAAGATGGTTCTAAGAGTATTGAAATCATTGATAGTTAGTTCATGCTGGACCTGGAGCGCTTACAGCATAAACAAAAATAAAAAACTGTCACCTGTACATTTTGGTTCCTTCGTCTCTACCCAGTGCCCGCGGATACAAGTGCGTATTTCCTTTCCTTCCAACATATATCCTTCACGGCAGCGGTACCTTGCCTTAGAAAGGCGAATGTTTATGTTGATGATCGTGTTCTTTGGTCGATTCCTCAGAAGACGTCGAAGCATTTTGTCGCAGCTTGTGTCACGCTCCGCTGCAATAATATGAAATGTAGCTTGATAGCTGTAACTATTATTAAACCACTGTTCAACTCAGTTAAGGCAGGAGGCAACTTTTGTGGGCGCATAACATTACTAACACTGGTGCCTGGGTAGCCTGTAGTGCTGGCGTTTTCGTCGGGCGCGCGAATGTTTTTGCTGTTTACACGCTAGATGTCCCCAATCTTCCTTTGTCATAAAATCAAAGATGGCGGCTACAACAATACGAACATATGCAATGAAAGTAAATATTGTCACGTTACTCCTTTATTAGTAGGATTTACATTGGCTGCTTGTAAAATTCAGAATTGAATTTAAAATCCTGTTGATTGTTTTTAAGATTTTTACGGGCTTAGCACCTTCGTATACGTACTTAATAAGTACTTCGCACTCAATTACTCATAAGCCTGTATCTAAATATACCTTAAGAAGTTCTAGCGCCAGCACCCTACTTATTTATTCGAATGTTAAGCCCAAGGCAACTCTCGGTGAACGGACCTTTCTGTTTGCTGCACCTATAAGTTATGGAATGTTCTGCCAAGATATATCAGGGAATCCATTTCTATTTAACTTTTAGCCATTAGTTTTTCTATTCTATAGGAGGAAGTGAAAAACAGATTTCGTTCCCAAGAACATCCATGCTATATATCTACTAAAGGCATATTTAGTCTGGGTCCCAGGCTCAAAAAGGGAAGGAGAAAGGGAAGAAGAAGGAGCAGATGGGGTTCTCATAGAAGGCGTTCCTTTTCGCGTGACTTTAAAATCAGACAAACGCGAAACGCGAGTTCGATTTGAAATGAACAAGTATGATTTCAGACCGTAATCATAACGAAAAAAAAATTCTCAAATCTGATTGGCTATCAACTGCCCTGATTTCATCCTAAGTAGGACAGTTTAATAGGACGGTACTCGTCACATATGCCTCAGTAATTGGACAGAACGCGCCATCACGCGCGCTGAAATGGCTTTTTTTCACTGCTGGCAAAAAAAAGGTCTTGGAATTTCTTGTGTTTTGATTAAAAAAAAAAATAGCTCTATATATCACAAATTTTGTTAAAGTTATGATAAATTGGTAACGGAAGTTCGTGTCGTCCAACTCGGTCTGTAATCATACTCGTGATTAAACAAATCGGACTCCCGATTTAGTTAATCACTCGTATGATTACAGACCGAATTGGACTCCACCCAGTCCTGTTACCATTACAAATTGCACTACACAAAGTTTAATTACCACTTTATTACAGCCATTTTGAAATCGCAGAATTCAGTCAGTACCAAATTATCCTGATCTAGTCGTCGGTTTGTTGAAACGGGGAAGCAAAAGGGCTTTTACATCAGCAGCAAAAGAAATAATGCGATACAGAGCAAAATTGGTGCGATTTGGAACAAAAATGATGTGATTTAGAGCATGAATGACGCAACATCTTTAGAACAGATGTGATTTAGAGCACAAAAAAAAGTAGCGCTATTCGTGAATAAATCACATTGTTGAGAGCCAATCAGATTGCTAGGATCATCAGTGATTTCAAAATGGATGTAATAAAGGGTGTAAGCTTGCTGGTCCATTGAAAAACACGTACAGCATAATATGATTTGAGAAATAGACAATTCCACGTTTTTTTAACATTTAACTTGGACCAGTTACCACGTCTTAAAAGTAGTAATGAAGCCACTAGTATATAGTTTGAACGTGGTTTACTGTTAAAAACCAACGAAGATATAGCTCCCCAGTTGCAAAGTAGTGGGATTGGGGGGGAGAAAGGCGGTCTTTGAAAGCAGTATCAATAGATATTCTCTGACTGGTATTTATCAAAATCGTGGAAGGGTCTAAGATTCATAAAGATTAGCCAATACAGAGAAACGATATACCTCCGCATTTGAAAGATGATTGAGTCCATTTTCCATTGATACAAACTTTGATGGGGTCTCCATTCGCTTTTTTTGTTAGGCCTTTCTTGCACCCTAAAATGATCATCTCGCCAGTTTTATAGACACGTTGGTAGTTTATCGGTTGTAATACGTACATGGAGGACGGAATGGTTGGTAAGGAACACATCTTAACTGAAGAAAGGAGGACAAAGACAAATAAGAATTAACTTATCTATCGCCGCTGTTGGTAGAGACTGGTTTCACCGATTCTAGCATGCGTGACCGGTGACGTTGAGACAAGTGGAGAACACGTGACAAGTGTTTGTGATGCGTGTCCATGAACACAAAAAGTGTATTGTGAGGATTTCTAGGGGGAAAGCAAGAAGTCTGATCATGTGCTCGATATCAGAGTGCGTACTTGGAAAAGAGGTACGTTGCTAACTATGAATAGTTTTGGAGCTTGCTTCGCCTGAAGGCGCGCAGCAGAACAAATGAAAGGTCCTCTTCCTAGATCGCCATGCAGCCTGTTTCGGAGTTTGTAAAAAGCATGAGGAGATGCAGTCGAGCATAGACTGAAAGGCGAGAAAAACAGAATTATCTGGCCTTTTGCTTGGCAGGACCAAGAAGAACAAGTTTGAGAGTTTTTTCTTCACTCTAGACTTGCAATGCCTGAGAAGGATGCTCACTTTTAAGCGCACAGTAAACACTAAAAGTAATAATAATAATAATAATAATAATAATAATAATAATAATAATAATAATAATAATAATAATAATAATAATAATAATTTAATCACTTATATTGCGCAGGTATTCATAAAAATGATCAAATGGGCATTGCAAACTACAAACCTATTTACAATAAGCAAAACAATAAAAATATATACACTCTAAAATATCGATATGTAACAATAACAGATTGTGAAAAAGTATTTGGATCAAAACGTACAGCAGTAAGGTTTTACTCCGTCCCACTTCCCATTTGCCTTGCAGGTTCTTCGTGTTGGCCCAAACAAGGTGTAGCCTGGATTGCACACGTAAGTGACGTTGGTACCTATACTGGTGAACTGGTACCAGTCTTGTGCATTCAGTACTGGTGGTGGTTTTCCACAGCTAACTAAATCTGCTAAATGAAACGGGAAAGCATACATTCAAGCTCCTGAAGCAGGCAGTAAGGCCGAGCGTTTTTTTGTATTGCAAGGAGAAGTTAATTCCTTATCTACTCCTGCTGTCATGGTAATATATTTGGGTATCATTTGTTCTCGCGTGTTGGTTTTTTGTAAGGGTCACAATTGCCACAATTCAGTATTAAGCCTTTGCCAAGAACTTGGGTAGAGGGACGGGCACCTAGAACATGCAAATATCATTTTTAGAGCTGCATCCACTGTTGGAGAGGCCAAGAATAAGTTGCATCCTGGGATGTTATAACCCCGGAGAGCTCCCAATGACATCGCTGCGCTGTTTTAAAACTTCATCATAGTTCAATGAGACGAAATCAAACGGAGCAAAAAAAATTAAAGACATCTGTAAAATCGCCCGCACTTATGAAAGTTATTGTGGGCGTGGGTTTGAAATCTGTTTATGGTGTTGAATATAATTTTTGGACTGATCGAAGGCTTTTCTGTTCTCTGCCTCGCTAAGAGACGCAATCTTGAGTGGGCTCTTTGATAAGTGCCGAACCAGAAAGTCTATATAACATTAGCTTTCTAACACTTTATAAATCAAACCATCATGAAACTCTACAAAATATACATGTATAAATTGAAGAGCTACGTAGCAAAATTATTGAGCGCATTCGTGAATGCAGTATGGTCATCTGCTCATTGTTTCGTCCAGCTGTTCAAATGCATGCCTGATTCAATGGAGCTTAAAATACTCACTGGAACACTCGGCGCTTTGATAGGAGAGAACCCATATGGCAGTGAATAACCACGGCAAATTCTGGTAGGGCAAAGTAAAAATCAAAATAGATCAGTAAAGGATATTCACTAAAAGGCGAGTGCGAGGAGCTCATGAGAAGGAGAGAGCAACTCCTCCGTTTATTCGCGTAACGGCAAATCAGGCAGCAAAGCATGGGTGGGAATACAGATGGAATTTGAAAAATAAAGTTTTTGGCCATCAATGCTATACACCAAGGCGTTCTTATTCACTGAGAAAGTACTCTCAAGTTGCCTGGTACGGGTTCACCTATGTTTACTTAGTTGACCCTAGTCCAACGTAGGCGTGGAGATTCTTCTCCCGCTCCTCTCCCTCGAAACAGTGTTGTTGTGTCTTCAAAAGAAAGCCTGATCCCTGGGCCGGCGTTTGTAGGAAGCAACTTTGAACCGGGGCAAGGGGTATTCTTTACGCAAAGCCATTGATTTGAAAATAGCTCTCTTGGGTAATAAGTTAGTGCGCATTAACGAAAAAACGTTCTCAAGTAGTTTTGTCCAGGCTTGTAGCTAGACTCTATTCAGGTCAAAGTGATTTCAGTGGCGAGAGAACGAGTGCATTATTTGTCCCTTTCCTCTTCCCAGTCTCAAACGCCTGCCACGCTGTCTAGCCTCTGCTGTTAACCCAGGAACCGATGGAGTTTACGCTAGTTCACACACCGTTCAACATTACTATATAATAAATTTTTTAGATATTTTTACTTGAACGTTTAAGCATCAAACTGATTTAAGCATGACTGAAATTTCTAGTTTTCTAGATCAGAATTACTTGCTCACTCTTAACGACAAAGTACTCAGACAAAAATGTAGATCAAATAAAATTGATGATGAAATTCACTTTCTTTTACATTTTCCAATAATCTTTTAAGTTACACAGCTAACGTTAACAATTATGCAACATTTCGCGCCACCAGAAGACTGATCAATGTGACTCAGACGTCCGCGCGAGCAACTTGTGCTGTGGTGGAACACTTCTTGTTGTTTCTAGTTACAACGCTGAAAGTTAGCTGTTCTAATCCCTTCTATATTTTGCTCTTACTCGTGAAAGCAATAACTAGTGTGCGTGAGGAGTTGCACAGATTTTCCGTCCGTATTACGACCCGAAATTAATTATTTTAGCTGTCGAGTGCCCCGCCCAAGACAACTTCCTTTTATCCATGAATGAGGCATCTCATTAGTGAACAAGTTATGCGTAACCGAATCAAAACATCGTCACTCCTTCGCTGTTATTATTCTTATTATTCTTATTATTATTATTAAATTAGCTGGCATTTTATTGACGTAAATAACAAATATTATAATTATTGTTATATGCATGTATGTACGAAAATGTAGACTGCGCCATTTAGGAATACGAGGTTTTATTGTTTTTAACTTGCTTATTTTTAATATCACAAACGGATCATATTATTTTTTTCCCATGACTTAATTTAAAACACTGAAGTGTGTGTAAGTGACATTTTGCGACCAAAAGTGATCGCATCTGAGCCGCAAGGAATGTATTTGGGAATTTCAAATCGTTAATGACACGGAATCATTTTTGATTTTTATACAATTTTCAGTATAATATTATAAGTGCTCTTAAGCACTTCAAATAATAATTAAAATTATTATTTGAAATATTTCTCTAAATTGTGTACTCATTCTGTATTTATTTGTTAAGAATTACAGTTATAGCATGTCTTAAGTTGAATACAGTATATGCTACAGGTTGAATGTCGTCCCAATGTAACAGACTGGCTACTCTGTCTGTGTCGAAAATCGACAAATTGTTTAATGTGAGAGTATTGCCTAACAGGCATCTTTTGGATAGTCACACTACAGGATTTCGTCAGCCCCTAATGGAACCTTATAGGCTTAAAAAGTAGATGTAATTGACACGCATGATAAAATAATAATTACCCTTTAAAAGGTAGACGGCCTGCCTCTAACACTAATTCGTAGTTCAGTATTATAACTTTATAGGAGCAATGGAGCCTTCTTCAAATCAGAGCTATTGCTTTAATTTAAGAGCCAAAATCAAGCTAAGTCCACAAACGTTAAGCCCCTTTATAACAACATTGGAATCGTCGAGGGAAATAGCGACTTACCTTGAAGCCAACCAATGAGAAAATCGTTTTAAGCAGTCCGGCCACTTGCATAATAAATGACGTTATAATATTTAGTCGTGCTTTCTCCGTTATTGGAGATATCGGCAGTTACTAACCTGTAGTTTGCTGAGAGATTTATTCTTATGTCTTGACCTTCGCCTTTGCTAAAGCGATTTTGACGTCAGCTAACAATCGTGTGTCAAGGCACGGTTTCATCTTCCGTCTGTAGGGTGTCTTCGTGTACCTCGTGTCTTTTCACACGGTTCCAAACGTTCACTTTCTGAACACCGAGAACAGTATGCAATAACTGTCAAATTTTGGTGAAACACTTTTTCGACAACTGAGGATTTCACGTCACACCATCTCAACCTTTTCTCCTCTGTCTTTCAAACTGTCTGCAGTTCCAGCACCAGTTTCGCGTTTTTAACAAATGATTTGTTTTTGGAGGGCGTGAGGTGACAACGGATTATATCGTCCATACTAGCAACATTATAAAGAAGAAAACGTTGTCGCGCTAATTTTTGATTCTTCTTTTCTTCTTTCTTTCTTTCCTTTGTCAATCTTAGTTGTAGGTTTGCTTGTGTTAATTTTTTGGTGCTGGTAGTTTACTTTTTGTGAACGCTCTAGCTATATGGTCGGTAACCAGCTGGTAACCGGTCAAGATTTACAAAATACTAAATGGCCGGCAGTCCGCTATTATGACTAGAGTGATTTAAGGGTTAAGCACTGACGACACAGATTAGGGTTAAGCACTGAAAATACTAATCAGGGTATAAGCGCTAGCTATACTTATCAGGGTTAAGCCCTGAGAATGGTGATTAGGGTTAACGGTTAGCTTCTATTTTTGGTTGGGGTTTTCGGCATAATTTTTGAATAAAATCATCATCTTGCTGCGAAACCACTGTGGTCTAGTTGTTAGAGTGTAGTAGTATGCAGACCCTATTCGCCGAGATCGAATCCGCTCATATTCGCGTGATTTTTTTTCTTTTAAAATTGAAGAGACTTATACTTTGACAACATTTGTTGATCACAAACTATGTTTCTCAGTCTATTCTAAATCGACGTATGATAGTTTGGTCTGGCTGGGATTCTTCGATTTGTCAAAATTATTTTAAAAGAATATCGGACTTGCCGGTAATTTAGCCTGACCGGTTATCGGCTATATAGCCACAGCCTTTTGAGAAAGTTTATTGCCAATTTTAAACCATAACTAAATACATAAACTTTTTTTGAAGCCGAGTAATGATTGGCTTCCTGGAAGGAGCGAAAGCAATGCAGCTTGTCATACACTCTTTTTTTTTTTTTTTTATAAGAATATATTTTATAAGAATTTCGAGGCTGAAATTTGCGAAATTTTAAGAATATTTTAAGAATAAAGCCGAGGCTGAGATTTTGAAAAGGATAGATATAATTTTGTGTGTTGAAACATCTGTAAATACAATACAGTTTTATGTTTTTAACTTAACCATATAAAATTATTCCTTTCTCTGAACGGCGAAACTAGCCAACAAAACGAAAAAACCTGCATTAGCTATAGCAAAATGTTCAACGCTAATGACAGTTCGATGAACGGTACATGTAATACATGTACATATACGGCAATAAATTCTAAAACGGAAATGATATAAGCTATAATTTAAGAATAATACAAGAATAATTTCAGCCTAAAATCGGCAGAAAAATAAGAATATTCAGCCTGGGCCGGAAAAACAACATTCATATAAAAAAAAAGAGTGTATTGTAATCAATGCACAGTCACACGTAACAAAGTTGCCCCAGAAACTGAGTGATGTCCCTTGAAGAATTCGAAGCGACGAAAATTCCAGCAGAAGAAAGATATAAGTCGCTCAGAAATTACATGGAATAAATTCTCTCACAGCCTACTGACTCCCTACTTGCTGAGAAAATGTTCGCGTGGTACTTACATCAAGAGTACAGCTGTACCAGGCAACTCAAGTAACTCGCTCAGTTTGACCGACCCACCAAAATTGAAACAAAAGGTTAATCATCTTCACGTTTCAAGCAATCTTATGCAAGCTAATTGTCTTATTTGCAATGAGCGATTTCAGTTGTCATTAAACAAGTTTGTTTTTACTTATGTCAAGCTCTTTATTGCTCTTATTGCTCTTT